AACAGAATTTGGAATACTATTATAACTAGGATTTTTATTACCAGTCTCTATAGCTGCTTAGGCTCTTCATAAACTGGTAAATCTGAAGTTAAAAGACTGCAACCTAAAACTAGAAAGGACCAAAACCCACATAATTATGGGCTGCCCATCCATCAGCAGTTGCAGCCCCTACTGCCTTAGTAGTGGTTACCCTGTTGGCTACAGGCAACATCCAGTCACAGATCGCTGGTGTTGATGGTGCTCTTGTTTGGTTTCTCTTCTTCTTCTTTCTTCTTCTTCTTCCCTCTTCCTCCTCCTCCTCCTCCTCTTCTTCTTCTTCCTTTTTTTTTTTTTTTGCCAGTCTGGACACTGTCACTGAGCGCTTCTTTTGCCCAAGGCTAGCACTCTATCACTTGAGCCTCGCACCGCTACTGGCCTTCTCTGTTTATACTGAGGTACTGAGGAATTGGACCCAGGGCTTCATGCAGGCTAGGCAGGCATTCTCAGCCACATTCTCAGCCCTCAAGGTTTTTTTGTTTTGTCAGTCATTGGGCTTGATCTCAGGGCCTGGGCACTGTCCCTGAGCTTTTCTGTGCAAAGTTAATGCTCCATCATTTTGAGCAATAGCTCCATTTCTGGTGGTTAAATGCTCCATCATTTTGAGCAAAGCTCCATTTCTGGTGGTTAATTGGAGATAGGAGTCTCACAGACTTTCCTGCTGGGGCTGGCTTTGAACTGGGATCCTCAGATCTCAGCCTTCCGAGTAGCTAGAATTACAGGTATGAGCCTCCTGTGCCCAACTTTCTCAAATATTTGTTTTTTGTTTTGGGTCCGGTCGTGGGGCCTGAACTCTGGGCCTGGGCACTGTCCCTCAGCTCTTCAGCTCAAGGCTAGCGCTCTACCACTTGAGCCACAGCGCCACTTCCGGCTTTTTTCTTTTTGCTTATGTGGTGCTGAGGAATCGAACCCAGGGCCTCAGGCATGCAAGGCAAGCGCTCTACCACTGAGCCACCTTCCCAGCCCTCTCAAATATTTGTAACAGCAGCAGGATTCAGATGTGTTTTGCTAAGAGCTTCTGGCTTGTTAGGGAAGAGCAGGTGGAAGCCAATGTGACAGAGTATCAGGAGGGATTGTCAAAACTGAACACAGTGTCTGCTCCTGCAAACTGTTTGGTAATGGCAGCGGAGAAATCTACAAGGCACCCTGGACAGGACCAGGTTTATTCTGAGGGTTTAGCTTTATCCTGGGGGGGGGGGTCTCAGAAAAAAGTGGGTAAAATCAGTGAGCTCCCGCTGCGTGTTCCAGCCCTTCTGCACACTGCTGTCTTTTCACTCTTGGCTCAGCGGCCCTGCTTCCTGGTCACGTGGCTCTTGGAGCTGAGTATCTCCCCACCCCCAAAAAGGACAAATGTGTTTCTTCTCAACCTGTCTACACCTGGAATGAATCATCCTTGGCCTTAAAGCACACTGATGGTCAGGTCCCACCCTTAGAGATTCTGATTCAATCGACCAGGGTGGGGCTTGGACAAAGAAATGCTTTAAAGCTCTCCAATGATGCTTTTTTTTTTTTTTTTTGGTCGTGGAGCCTGAACTCTGAGCCTGGGTGCTGTACCTGAGCTCTTCAGCTCAAGGCTAGCACTCTACCACTAGCGTTCTTACCACCTGAACTACAGCACCACTTCTAGCTGAGGAATCGAACCCAGGCCTCATAGATGCAAGACAAGCGCTCTACCACTGAGCCACCTTCCCAGCTCCCTGAGCTTTTGCTCAAGCCCAACCCTCTACTACTTGAGCCATGACTCTACTTCTGGCTTTTTCTGTTTATGTGGAAATGAGCAATCAAACACAGGGCTTCGAGTATGGTAGGCGAGCACTGTACCACTAAGCCATGTTCTCAGTCGCTCCCTAATGATTTTGCTCTTCAGTCAAGGTGTGGAGGCTTAGCAATATAGGTGCTCTCTTGAGCTGGGTTCCTCCTTGTATCCCCTCCCTGCCCACCAAGTAAGGCTGTTCTAGGATCGTGTCATCAGCGGACATGGCATACAAACCTAATAGATGGTTTAAAAATTTGCTTGGTGTGGCAGTGGACACCTGTAATGACAGCTCCTTTGGAGGCTGAGACAGGAGGATCTTGAATTTGAAGCCCACACAGGCAAAGTTAGCAACATTTTGTCTCAAAATACAAACAAAAAGACTGGGGGTGTGGCCCAAGTGGTTATAGATATTTGCCTACCATACATGAGGCTCTGGGTTCAAATTAATAATTTAACCCACTATATCCATTTTTTTTTTTTTTTTGGGTCCGGTCGTGGGGCCTGAACTCTGGGCCTGGGCGCTGTCCCTCAGCTCTTCAGCTCAAGGCTAGAGCTCTACCACTTGAGCCACAGCACCACTTCCGGCTTTTTTTCTTTTTGCTTATGTGGTGCTGAGGAATCGAACCCAGGGCCTCGAGCATGCAAGGCAAGTGCTCTACCACTGAGCCACCTTCCCAGCCCCACTATATCCATTTTTAAAACTCATTCCAGTATGTAATCAAACTTGAGATGTATTTGCACACTAAGTCTTTCAAGTACCAGGCTGGATGGCATAGCCTCTCTGACCTGCCCTTGGTTGGGGCCAGTGTGGGTTTGGCCAGTGCTGCGTGCATTGGTGAGCCTTGGTTTACTCACAGGGCCCCTGGCAAGCCACATTCATTCAGCTGCTAAATGCAGCCAATGGCTGCTGTGTTACATAGCAGTGGTATAGAATATTTCTTTCAGAGCAGAACTGTTCCATGCAGTTTTTATTTTACAAATTTCAGGTTAAGAGATGCTCAGAGGAAACAGTTTTTAATTGTACAAGATGCTGATAAGCCATTTTATATTCATATTCATCCACCCCCACATTGCTGCTTAATCATCTACCCACATAGCTATCGGAGCTAAGCTTGCAACTGAGGAAGAATAGAAAAGGAAAACCTCTGCGCTGATAAATCAGACCCATGTTCCTGTCAGCCCACCAGCAGCAGAGCAGCAGCGGACACTCGCTACTTCACACAGAGGCCTGGATTCCTCTTTTATCTCCCCTGTTGACATTAGGGTTACTAAGTCCAGTATTTAAGCCTCTGTTCTGACCCTGACCTGTCTGTGCAGGGAACTCAGGTGTCTCCAGTGAGGTCTTGGTGAGCTGGCTGACCCTGCCGCTCAAGGTCATCCCTCTCAAACATGGACATGTGGCCAGAGCTTGTCTGAGGTTGCAGGTGTTACTCATCTCACTGAGACAACCCAGTTCTATGACAGAAGTACATTAGGTTTCCACTGAAGTCTGTTTAACAGCTTCTGGAAAGCCGGCTGTCCCATCCACAGGTTTTAGTTGAAGGAATCTATTCCTGAAGGGCTCTTAGGAAACCTGGACCCTTTTGTTGTTGTTTTAATCTGGATGTTGAACCCAGAGCCTTGTATATGCTAGGTGAGTGCTCTACCACTGAGTGCTCTACCACTGAGTTCCATCCCCAGTCCAGGACAGGTTTCTTTGTGTCTCAAATACAGTGGAAACTGTATTTGTATTATTTACAAAGGTCTCTTTGTCATGCAGATGTAGATCTCTGGGGATTTATGGGGTTTGGCTAGAAAGCTTTCATAAGAATGAACTGTTTGCCAGGCGCTGGTGGCTCATTCCTGTAATCCTAGCTACTCAGGAGGCTGAGATCTGAGGATCCGGGTTCAAAGCCAGCCCGTGCAGGAGAGACTGTGAGACTCCTATCTCCAATAAACCACCAGAAAACTGGAAGTGGCGCTGTAGCTCAAGTGGTAGAGCGCTCGCCTTGAGCTGAAGAGCTGAGGGACAGCGCCCAGGCCGAGTTCAAGCCCCACGACCGACAAAAAAAAAAAAAAAAAAAAAGAATGAACTGTTTGTCTGGGTTCATGGCTCTAAACCTAACTAGCTACTCAGGAGGCTGAGATCTGAGGATCTTGGTTCAAAGCCAGCTTAGGCAGAAAAGTCTGCAGGGCCTAATTTCCAATTAAGCTCAAGTGGTAGAAAATGAGCTATAAGTGGGGGGGAGGGGGAAAAAAAAGCACAAGGCTCTTGAGTTCAAGTCTCAGTACCAGCAGAAACAAAAGTTATTTGTACCTTTTGAGTTTAGCCTGGAGAGCCTAATATATTCTTTTTTGTTTGTTTGTTTTTTTGTCCATCATGGGGCTTCAACTCTGGGCTTGGGTGCTGTCCCTCAGCTCTTCAGCTCAAGGCGAGCACTCTACCACTTGAGCCACAGCACCCACTTCCAGCTTTTTCTGTTTATGTGGTGCTGAGGAATCGAACCCAGGGCCTCATGCATGGGAAACAAGCACTCTACCACTGAGCCACCTTCCCAGCCAGAGCCTAATACATTCTTACCAGGGCCTCCTTAGGCTCTTCATTTCACTTTCTCATTGACATTTAAAAGGCATTCAGATACCTAATATAAGGAACTGACTTCTTGAACAGGAGCGGCATGACTCAGTCATGGTCAGGCTGACTCTCTTAGTTCAAGCCCCAGCATAGCTTCTCTCCATTGCTAATAAAAATGAGATTTTAAAGAATTCACTGTGAGGGGCTGGGAAGGTGGCTCAGTGGTAGAGCGCTTGCCTTGCATGCCTGAGGCCCTGGGTTCCATTCCTCAGCACCACATAAGCTAAAAGAAAAAAGCCGGAAGCGGCGCTATGGCTCAAGTGTAGAGTGCTAGCCTTGAGCTGAAGAGCTGAGGAACATAGTGTTCAGGCCCCACGACCGGACCCCCCACCAAAAAAAAAACAACAAAAATTCACTGTGAGAGAAAGGCAGATCAGCCTGTTTGAGGGCTGGAGACTGATTCTGGTTGTTATTTACTGAAACCTAATTTGTCTTATCTTTTCACAGCTCTGTTGTCATTCTATAAAGCAGTAAATACTAATCTGACTCATAGCTCTGCACCCTGGAGAGATCAGCCTTATCTTTGGTTGGGCTTGTTCCTTCTGACATCTGAAACTCAGTTTTCAATGATATTTTTTGTTTTTCTCTTTCAAGCCTAACTATGGGACAGCTTTACGAGAAGGAAAAGGATGAAGATGGATTCTTGTATGTGGCCTACAGTGGAGAGAACACTTTTGGCTTCTGAGGGCCAGCGCTGGGTTAGGTGCACCGTTCCTGCTTGTGTATCTTGTAAATAGCCGGCCATTTTCAGTTATACCAGAACCTCTTCACATGAACCTCTTAGTGCATTTGTAACTGGATTTATTTCTTAATATATTGGAAGGTTTTGTTTCCTTAGATTAGTAAATTATACAGTTTTATTTTGAGTTTTACTTTCTGTGCACTGTCCTCATGGCTGAATTCTCCAGGGAACTTGATCTCTGGGAATCATATTTAATGAAGACATTTCCATAATGAAGTGAGGTAGGTGCTGTCTTAAAGTGAAAGGGAAGGCGATGATGCATTAATTCTGGATTATGTTTGAAGTGTTAGATGGCTAAGTATTAAAGGCGTCCAAATTAAATCCTTAGCAATCAGAACACTTGGCTTCACTAGATTCTGCCAACTGCCAAGCATGTTGGACTGAGCTAATCTGTTCCTCTTTCTGAAACTATTAAGGTAAATAATTAACAATAAAACTTCCTCTTATAAAGGCACTGGAGTGTGACTGTGTCCTTTATTCGCCTTGTTTGGATGGGTTAGAATAGTGGCTTCTCTGTAGGCCAGGAGAGGGACTTGTGGGGGCCGAGGCAGCAGTGAGAGCAGTGGCCGGGATCATAGAGGTGGTCAGTGTCAGGGCATTCATCATAGGGGTGGTCAGTGTCAGGGCATTCATCATAGAGGTGCTCAGTGTCAGGGTATTCATGTGGCTCAGATAATCTGGACTATATGAAAACACACCTCTTACTGGGAACTTTTCTCTTTTTAAAACTTATTTTTGTGTCTGCCCTGGGACTTGAACACTGTCCCTGTGTTCCACTTCCAACTTTTTGATGGTTATTTGGAAACTGGAGTTTAGTCAGTAGAGACTGAACTACCAAAAAAGCCAGAAGTAGCACTGTGGCTCAAGTGGTAGAGTACTAGCTGGGAGTAAAAGCAGCTCAGGGACATTGTCCCGGCCCTGAGTTCAACTCCCCTCCCCCTCAAAAAAAAAAGAAAAGTCTTAAAGACTTTGCTGCCTGGGCTGGCTCTGAACTGCGATCCTCAGATATCAGCCTCCTGAGTATCTAGGATAATAGACTGAGCTGACAGCACCTGGCCATTGTCTTCTTTGTCTATCATATGTATCTATATCCTTATTTCTTATACAAAATAAGCCACATACACTCTTTTCGGGCGGGGGGGGGGGGGGGGGGGGGAGGGGGGGAGGAGGCGTGTATTGGGGTTTGAATTCAGGGCCTCAGGCTTGTTTTGGCCAGATGCTCCATCAGTCAAGCCTTTTTGTTGCTTTTTTATTTAACGCTGTAGTCTGGTAGCCTTTCTATATCAAACTATATGCATATATCGTGTGTGTGTGTGTGTGTGTGTGTGTGTGTGTGTGTGTGTGTGTGTGTGTGTGTGTGTGTGTGTGTGTGTGTGTGTGTGTGTGTGTGTGTGTGTGTGTGTGTTTGCTGGTCCTGGGGCTTTAACTCATAAGGCCCTAAGGCCTTTTTGCTCAAGGGAAAGTGCTCTAGCACTTGAATCCCTTCTGGCTTTTTGATGGTTAACGGAGATTAGAATCTCAGATAAGGATTTCCTTGAGCAAGACTGGCTTTGAACGGCAACCCTCAGTTCTCTGCCTTCTGAGTAGCTAGGATTCCAGGCGTGATCTGCTGGTGCCTGTCTGTATCTATGTCCTTTTTTATTTATTTATTTATTTTTTTTTTGGGGGGGGGGTCTGGTCATGGGGACTGAACTCTGGGCCTGGGCACTGTCCCTCAGCTCTTCAGCTCAAGGCTAGGGCTCTACCACTTGAGCCACAGTGCCACTTCCAGCTTTTTTCTTTTTCTTATGTGGTGCTGAGGAATCGAACCCAGGGTCTCTTGCATGCAAGGCAAGCGCTCTACCACTGAGCCACCTTCCCAGCCCCTGATCTATGTTCTGTGTGGTGGTAATCTCCCGTCCCTTAGAAATGATGGTTAGGTTTTTCCAAGCCCTTAAGTTTTATTTCTAAAAATTAGTATATATCTGTATGCCTGCTAGGATACAAACATATCTGAGGAAATAAGTACTTATTTTGTACCTGAGTCTGACAGATGGGCAGTTGGAAAATACAGCCTTACTTAAAATCACTCACCAGAGCAGAATACCTGCCTTATTTAGTGACCTAAGACCAGAGTTGAAATGATTCTTAAACTTTTGAATTAGAGAAGAAACAAAGATCTTCAGTTTTTTTTTGTTTTGTTTTGTTTTTTGGTTGTTGTGGGGCTTGAACTCGGCCTGGGCGCTGTCCCTCAGCTCTTCAGCTCAAGGCTAGCACTCTACCACTTGAGTCACAGCGCCACTTCCAGTTTTCTGGTGGTTTATTGGAGATAAAGTCTCACGGCCTTTCCTACCCTGGCTGGCTTTGAGCCATGATCCTAGGATCTCAGCCTCCTTAGTAGCTAGGATTACAGGTATGAGCCACCGGCCCCTGGCTATTCAGGTTTGTCTTTATTAAATCATATATGCAGGCCAGTGGCATTCTCTAGTAATGTCTCTTTTTTGCTGGGTTCAGAACATGGTTCCTTGTTATAAGCATCTTGTTGGCCTTTGCCAAAGCTGACCCAATAAAAATGTGTATTCCTTTCTGCTGGCAGTTTCAAGCTAGTAACAGGTAGGAACTAACCTCAGAATGAGCACCATAAAGGGAAAGAACTGTGTTAACTAAGGAATCTGGTTTGCAGTTAAATATACTCAGTTCAAACTGGTCTAAGAGATCAAAAGAGGTTTTTATTTGCTAGCTGTCATGGTTCACTGGCTTTAGGGTTAGCTATTGTCAGGGAGCAAATGATTACAGCAAAACCTCATTGAGCTGGGCATGCTGCTCTACAGTAGTAGGGTACTAGCTTAGCATCTGTGAGTACTGGGTTTGATCCCAGTACTATGATGGTTCATGGTGGGGAGGGTATGGACTGCTAGTTCAATAAAACTATTTAAGAAGTCCAGCTAGGTGCCCGTGGCTCACACCTAGTTACTCAGGAAGCTGAGATCTGAGAATCGTGGTTGGAAGCCAGCCTGGGCAGTAAAGTCTGAGACACTTAATCCAATTAATCACAGAAAAAGCTGGTAGAGTGCTAGCCTTGAGCAAAAAGGGCTGAAACAGCGCCTAAACCCAGAATTCAAGCTCCAGGACCAGCAAAAAAAAAAAAAAAAAAGTTGATCACTACTACTCAACATTCTTGTAGTAAAGCAAATACAATAGTAAAGGATGAGTAAATGAAAAGAATTCCTCTGCCTGCTTTGGAACTCTGTTTCCCAGCATTCCATTTATTTGAGAGGATCCATCCCTTCCTCATGCTGCACAAGCTCTCTGGATGGTTTCAACCTAGCCCCTGTATTCAGTGACCTCTTGCAAACAGACAGCTTCCAAGAGCTTTACCTGCAGCCCACCTCTTTCCTGATCACCAATCCAGTCACTGTCTGCCCCCTGCAAACCCTCGTCGTGAAGTCTCACTGGACCACACCTCTCCCTTGCAGGACCAGGTGCTCTTCCTGGATTTCTTTCTGGATACCTACCCATGCAGTGACCTCCATCATCTCCATACTCCCGTCCTCAATCTGCTGCACTCAGCATCACAACTTCTGGCTGTCCTCTCCCTTGGGCTCCTCATGCTGCCATTGTCTGGGCCTATTTGCCACCATCTTTGCCCTGCAGCCTGTCCTTTCTGCCACAAAGGAGAGTAATCTTTCATCCCGTGACCATTTTCTCCAACTCCCTGATGTGCTGAGCGGCCAGGATAAAATCACCGCCCTTCTTAGGTCACACACATCCTCCCTGCTCTATCCCAAGGGCCTTGTAGGCCTACCAGCCTGGCCATCCCCCGTCCTCTAGCCTTGCATGTGCTCCTCTACCTCAAATGCCCTTCCCTCAAAACCGTTTCCTTCTCCCCTAGTCCTCCCCCTCTCCTCACAAGAACACTGCCCTTCTCCCAGGTTGAGTACCGGCTCTATAGCATAGTTATCCCATATTGCTGTTCACTGTGAAGTCACTGGCAAGTGACTTCCCACCATTGAAAAGCATCATAAGGGCTACCTTTATTATCTCTCTACCTGAGGTGACAGCATAGGGCCTGCGCACTGGTGGTAGGGGGGGCTTGCCCTCCCTGGAACTGAGAACCTAATCAACAAGCCCCAACACATCCTACTGCTGCAGCTGTCATTGAAGCACTGCGGCCACAGGATTCACTGAATCCTACAGGAGGCCCCAGGATCTCTTTCAAGGAGAATTTAGAAAAAGCCAAGAGAAATGTTCTAAGTCTCAAAAGACTCATTAGATTAGATGTGGAAAGCTTTTTTTAAAGTGCAACTTGGCTGGGTGCTAGTGTCTCATGCCTTCAATCCTAGCTACTCAGGAGCCTGAAATCTGAGGATTATGGTTTGAAGCCAGCCCAGGTAACCAAGTCTGTGAGACTCTTACCTCCAATTAATCTCCAGGAAACCAGAAGTGGAGCTATGGCTAAGTGATAGAAGCACAGCTTTGAGCAAAAAAGCTTGGGGACAGCACCCAAAGCTCTGAGCTCAAGCTCCACGATGACCACCACCAAAAAGTGCAACCATTCCCCTTTTCACCTTTATTCTTCTTAGGAAAATCCTGGTGGCTGACATAAAGCAAAACTGTAAGAGTCTGGGTGGGAGGATCTATTTATACATGGTGATCAACAGCTTTGCTCTTTCATCCCAGCCCTTGGGAACAAGCCATTGCTTCCAGATGTGGGACGGAGAGGTACTTACAAGCAGATGTGTACACACTTGGCACACAAGGGGGTCCAACATCTGGGCAATGGGCTTGTGCTGAGGGCTATCTCTGGGCTGCTGAATTGGCAAAAATAACTTCTAAGGTGGAGGGCATACCTAGGCTAGAGTATCCTGTGTGCTAGTCAACTGTCAGTTCAACAGACGACCTCCTCACATTTCACTTTATCCCCCAAACCCATGCCACACAGGTGCTGCTGCCATTTCAAAGGTGCAAACACAGGCTCTATGGACCTAGTCACCCACCTAGGATTACATAACCCACACTCAAGTCCAATGCCCAGACCCATCCTAGTTCTGCTAGTTATTCACATGGTAATAACGAAAAGGCTTGTTTTTTTTCTTTTTTTGGGTCTGGTCGTGGGCCCTGAACTCTGGGCCTGGGCGCTGTCCAGCTCTTCAGCTCAAGGCTAGCGCTCTACCACTTGAGCCACAGCACCACTTCCAGCTTTTTTCTTTTTGCTTATGTGGTGCTGAAGAATCGAACCCAGGGCCTTGAGCATGCAAGGCAAGCGCTCTACCACTGAGCCACCTTCCCAGCCCCAAGGCTTGTTTGTTTTTAACCCATAGAAATGTAGGCCAAAACCCTCCCTTGGTTCTCCAAACAAATTCTTAGAATCTGGCAAGTTAGTTGAAACAAAAAATAATGGTTCCAGGGGCTGGCTGGGGCCAGTGTCTGTCGTAGCACAGGTGAGTGGGCTCCGTTGGAGCTGCTTTAGAGTCA